TTTTTTTCTTTAATATTTATTTATTTATTTATACAAGCACTGGGCACAGTCAGAAGCGCGGGAGGGTGAGAGAATTCACCAGAGCCAGAGCGGGGAGCAGAGCAGGCAGAAGGACCAAAGTACACTGCTGAGGGGAGCAGCGGGCGGCAGGAGAGGTCTGCGCGCCACGTGGGACCCTCTTCCGGTGGCCGGGGAGCAGCCGGGGATCGAACTGGCGCTGCAGAGGCTGCGGGCAGCTTCGGAACCCAGCGCACAACCGCTTGCAGCCTCTTAGAATCAGGGTTTTGTTCACTTATGTGGCTGATTAAAGAGTTAAAGTTGGTTATGATCACTCATATATACAGAGAAAAACACACAAAGAAACAAAACGAAATGAACTTTTAGCCTAGAAAACCAATTAGCTGCTACGGAAGGAAAGGAGATCGGTGAATGCAGTATAAGGGAACTACTGCATGGGGAGGGGCAGAACTGGACTTCAGCGATAAAGTTAACGTAGCATACAAGCATGGTGATTTCTAATGATACACGCCTGCAATATACATAATGCTACAATGCAATGTTATTTCAATTTTAAAAAAATAGCAACTGGGGGCCTCCCCGGTGGTGCAGCGGTTGAGCGCTGGGTTGCGAAGCTGCCCGCAGCCTCTGCGGCACCGGTTCGATCCCCGGTTGCTCCCCAGCCACCGGAGGAGGGTCCCACATGGCGCGCAGACCTCTCCTGCCGCCCGCTGCTCCCCTCAGCAGTGTACTTCGGTCCTTCTGCCTGCTCTGCTCCCCGCTCTGGCTCTGGTGAATTCTCTCACCCTCCCGCGCTTCTGACTGTACCCAGTGCATGTATAAACAAACAAACAAATAAATAAATAAATAAAACATGCCTCTATTAAAATAAATAAATAAATAAATAAATAAATAAAGTTAAAAAATAGCAACTGGGAGAAAAAAGGTACTTATGATCATTCCACCCCCTATTCATTTCTTTTTTTTTTTAATTTTTTTTTTTTAAATAGAGGCATGTTTTATTTATTTATTTGTTTGTTTGTTTGTTTTGCTTATACATGCACTGGGTACAGTCAGAAGCATGGGAGGGTGAGAGAATTCACCAGAGCCAGAGCAGGGAGCAGAGCAGGCAGAAGGACCGAAGCACACTGCTGAGGGGAGCAGCGGGCGGCAGGAGAGGTCTGCGTGCCATGTGGGACCCTCCTCCAGTGGCCGGGGAGCAGCCGGGGATCGAACCGGCGCTGCAGAGGCTGCGGGCAGCTTCGCAGCCCAGCGCTCAACCGCTGCACCACCGGGGAGGCCCCCCTATTCATTTCTTATGCACAAAAAAACTAGAATCATAAGAAAACATTGTTCTGAACAACCACTCTGTCCAATCTCCAAACTTTACAAGATAGTACTCCATCACTTTATTTGCTGGAAGCAAACAATAGTGCCTTTTCTTCTCTTCAAAGGGAAATTTTTAACCTAGGCTATTTACAGAGGTCTAGGTTACAACTTTAACTTGTGGAATAAAACGAACCATAATCACTTCCAATGTCACATGACTCTTCCTCTGGCCCAAGTTCTAAACCTTCTACCTCACAAGGCTTAGGAGTCTTTCTAGCTCTAAGTTTTCTGGCAACCTTTTCATTTTACTGCTAATTGTGACTCTGAGGAATTCACCCACAAGGAACTACAGGAATTTACTCTATTAAACCACAAACTATATTTCATTTTCATTTTCCAGATGAAAGTTTAAAAGTCTGTAATGCACAATGTCAAAAAGTGTCATCTGTCTTTAATCATCTCCAAAAGAAAAAAAACTCATCTCTGATAGGAATTTTCACTTATTGGTAACCCTTCTCTAGCCAACAAAAACATACATACTTAACTACCATAACATTCTAGCAAAATGCTGTTATCTCAGCAATTACAATGGAGTATATGCTTTCAATAGTGAGTCAGGCTTTGGGCGTGGTTAAGCACATGGAAATTCACCAGCTGGCATCTACAATTAGATTCAAGGAGACAAATGGAATTTTTGTATCAGGTTTTTCCAAGAGTTCACTAGTTCTTAAATTGATTATACCTCTCTGAAGTATTTACAAATGAAATGATATAATGTCTGGGATTTGATTTAAAATACTGGGGAAGAAAGGAGGATCAAGGTTAACAGACAAGATTAGTCATGTGTTCATAACTGCTGAAGGTCTAGGTCAGTGGCTCATTTTGTTATTTTATATGTGTTTGAAATTTTCCATGAAAAGGATTTTTTTAACTTATGATGTGGTAAAAAGAAAGAACCAAGTGATTTTAGGACCAATGAGTTCCACAATGAAAACTGCTCATTTCTTAAGATATACCCCAATTCTAACAGGTGTTTCTCACTGAACAAATATTTACTGAGCACAACTACCATGTGCCAGGACACCAAGCCAACTGCTAAGGATACAAGGAATCCAGCAGGGAATCTGTTATCATGAAAGAGGCAGGCAAGTGGTGCCATAAACCAAACAAGAGGGAGAGCACATCCAACTGCGGCCTCTCAGGAGAGACTCCCAGGCACCATCCAAGTTCACTCTGAAAGAGTCAACCCAAAGATTTAACCCTTTTTTTAAGGGGGGGGGGAATCAATGTTAACCTTTGCTGTCTTATGTACACAGATCATCAAATAAATGACTGTTGGGGGAGGGGAGATGTTATGTATATTAAAAGAAAATACCCTGTTCTTTTATAAAATATCCATTTCTCTAAAAGGAGAAATCACCAAATTGTCATTCATTCAACAAATATTTATTAAAAATCTACTACATGTCAGCATATGCTAGGCACAAAGGATGAAATAGTCTCAACCCTGAACCCTTTATAATTTAGAAGCATAAGACAAAAAAAGAGTAAACAAGCCTTCAGACAGAAAATTACAAATTTCCCCAAATGCAAAGGAAACAAAGAAATGATGACTTTCTGAGCAGAAAAGTATCTACTTTTTTGGAAAAAAAAAAAGATTTATTTTTATTTATTTATACAAGCACTGGGTACAGTCAGAAGCGCGGGAGGGTAAGAGAACTCACCAGAGCCAGAGCAGGGAGCAGAGCAGGCAGACTGAAGTACACTGCTGAGGGGAGCAGCGGGCGGCAGGAGAGGTCTGCGCGCCATGTGGGACCCTCCTCTGGTGGCCGGGGAGCAGCCGGGGATCGGCGCTGCAGAAGCCACGGGCAGCTTCGCAACCCAGCGCTCAACCGTTGCGCCACCAGGGAGGCCCAGAAAAGTATCTACTTTTTAGACATAGCAATAAGGTAAACTGAAAGAACTAAGTAAAGAGCACGGGATGATAATGCATCAACTAAAGGGACAAGGAGGTGGTTAGATCAGCATAGATAAAGCATGCAGGTAATACAGATCATGGAAAGAAATTTAGATTTTATTCTCAATGCAATGGGAAAACTTTGGAGTTGATGGATTTAAGCAGCTAAGTGATTTAAGCAATATTTGTGTTTTTCAGATCATTCCTGCTGCTCTGGATTGAAAGAGTAATTTTTTAATAATATATGTGGCACACCACCCCATAAAGAGATTCAGTGGATCATGTGAAACTAAGTTTGCTCCCTTGAAAATCTTTCCCTTCAAACCACTCCACAGCAGCTTTGGCAGCCTGTGTATAGCACTGTCTTTGGGCTTTCCTGTTTCCTTGTCCAAACAGATATGGATCATGGGTTGTCAGATTCTCCTGTTCATCTTAACAACTCTACACTGATTAAAGAAGCCTATCAGATCATCTAGTCACAATGTCATTTAATCCTTGCACATAAAATCGCATTGTTTACATCATCCTGTTTACATCATGAGGATGTAAAGATGGGCCTTGGACCTCCCTGGTGGCACAAGGGAGCTTGCGCACTATAAAGCTATCATCAGCCTCTGCAGCATGAGTTCCATCCCCGGCCAGGGAGCTGACCCACATGGCGCAGCAGACCTCTCCTGTCTCGCCCGCTGCTCCCCTCAGCAGTGTATTCAGTCAATCCACCTGTTCTGCTCCCCGCTCTGTCTCTGGTGAATCCTCTCACCCCCGGTACCTCTGGCCTACATCCCAGTTCCTGTATGCATAAATAAAATAAATCTTTATGAAAACGGGCCTATTCAATCCCCGGATGCTCCCCGGCCACCGGAGGAGGGTCCCACATGACGCGCAGGCCTCTCCTGCCGCCCGCTGCTTCCCTCAGCAGTGTACTTCTGTCTACCTGCTCTGCTCTCTACTCTGGCTCTGGTGAATTCTCTCACCCTCCTGTGCTTCTGACTGTACCCAGTGCTTGTATAAATAAATAAAAATAAATCTTAAAAAATATATAAAATAAAATAAAATAAAAAACAGGCCTAGATCAAGATCTGGATCTTCACCCGGCTCGCTCCTAGCCCATTCCACAGCATCCTCCTCCCTGCCCATCTCTGCTCATGCCTCCATAATCAAATCCCCTCTCATTCTCTGCCCTGGTTATCAGGCCACTCATGCTCTGGTTATCTCCTGGTCTAGAGTCCTGCTCATAAACACCCATACCACTGGCATGGTCCTGTCAGAATTAACTCTGCTGCCCATAACTGCTGCTCTATTAGATATAATGACTTGGAGTCTGGCTATAGGATGTGGGGGTGAGAGGGTGGAAGGGTAATAAATGGGTACTCCTTTGCTGACCACAGCAACTCTCCTGTACATACCTGGGAGACTGCCCATAGGTGTTCTGCTAAGAATAACTGCTCTGACCATAACTAGTCAGCTGTGAAGAAGACGAGCTGGCCTGAGGTTAGGAGGGTAGTACAGTGACTCGCTACATGGGGGTAACTGGAGTTACTAGGGTGAGACTGATATTCTCAGTGGGTTTGTTACCATCCTGTGGTATTGTAGCTGCAGTGGCTGGCTGCTGCCCATAGGCTGGGTAAGCAGGCTGAATGCCATGGGCAGACTGAGCTACATAGGAGGCCTGGGGGTAGTGACTATAGCAGTGGTGGCATAAGTACCAGTGCCATACCTTGCACTGACTGTCCACTTGAGGAGCAACTGGAGCACATCCAGTAGCACAACCAGTGGGAGGCTGTCCATAAGAAACTGGAGAGGTGGTCTGCCCACAGGTTGCAGTGGTCTGAGGCTGAGTATAGCTGATAGCAGTGGGCTGTCCACAGGTTCCGTGGCTTTGTTGCCTGCATGCCTAGGTGGTCTCCGCATACCCTTGAATGGGTTGGGTGCTATAGGCACAGAAAGCCCTGCTTGGCTGCTGCTTGGCTGTAGGCACTACAATCCACAAGCGCCATTTTCCTCCTCCTCATTCTGTCAACGTCCAGCTTTTAAAAAAAAAAAATACTTAAAATTCATGGGTCATGACCTCTGGGGAAATCTCTGGGAAGCTAAAACAAGCAAAGATGCCTGGGGGTTAGCATTCTTCTCATTCTCCAATTGCCAAAGTCGGATTAATTTTCATTTACTCATCTCCAGTTCCATAATCAGCTTCTTGATTGAAAGGAAGGGAGTAGGGGACTTTCTCTAGAATTTCAAGCGACAATAAGCTTTATTGAAAATCTGATAAGGAATGTGATTGCATAACCTTTCTTCTCACTGCCAACTATGTTCCAGGTGGGAACTCCACTATGAAAGCATTCTAATTTTCCTGTCCAAATTTGCCAGATTGCAGAAAGCTGCCTTAAGCAAAGCCATTTAATTCCACTTAAAAAGTTTCCTCATTCCAAAGTCTGAACAAGAGTAAGTTTCTAATAGCATTTGTAATTGATCAGGAAAGAAAAATAAATTCCATTGTCAATCCCTGGGGCATGTGGCTAAGCCATCTTAATAAAGGCACTAACAAACTAAGTTATGCTCAGAGAATTTTTACTCAGTTATCTGAAAAGCAGAATGGAAGGAGGAGAGACACTACCAATACCCATAAAATACCCATGAGTTTTACCTACATTATTTCACTTAATCTTGAACATCCCTACAAAATATATCCCCATTTCACTGATGAGGACATAACCCAGAAAAGTTGACACTAGCTCAAGGTGAAACCTTTAAGCAGCTACCATGGCCCAAAATCTTTCCATTAAACAAATGTTTAAATAAGGACTAAATTACAGAACTCTTCCACATGACCCATGTACTAACAGATAAGCGCTCACACATTTCGTTTGGAGATGTAATCATCAATTATACTATTTCTCAATGGGGAAAGTGTTTAGGATTCCTACTTGGTGACATCAGGCCTACAGGAAGCACTTCTGAAGAGATAAGGAAGTTCTGGTGACAAAAGCTATGTGGGTTATTTGCTTTTAATGAAACCAAACGGAGCTCCTTCTTGAAAGCCACATATACTTTCTGGGGGCTAGCAGTGGCTCCCTGACAAAACCACAGGGACTCATGTACAAGGACCATGCCCAGGAATATCTATAAGTGATTTAGGATAGTAGCACTGAGCAACCCACACGAGTGAAACAACTATTTTATCATCAAATCTGGTCAAGTAAGAGAGCGCACATGAAAGCACCTAACTATGGCTAGCATAAAATAGATGCTCAATAAAATCTAGTCACTCCCAATCTCTGCTTCAAGTTATTTGTACAAAAATCAAATAACTGTGCAAGACGGAGTCTCATCATCTCACTTAGTTGGGCAAATTATGAAATGCTCTGTCAAACCTCATCAGAGTTTGCATACCTGGTCCCACATTTGCTAAGAATAGGAACACAATTAGCCACATCTACTGAAGTCAGGAGTTTTCTCTTAAGAATTATTGTATTTCCTCCTTCAATCTCCAACAAATAGCAAATAGACAAGTATTTTTAGGGCAAGTCTCCCCAGCAACTGAGTTCAAAACAACTGAGCAAACCCACCACTACCACTGCACTCTACATTACCATCTGCATTCCTCCATTTCCACGATCACTAAGTGGTAATACACAACCTGGCATATTAAATCACTATTAAAAACCTCTTACTAGGGCAAACTATTCTTTAACCATGTCAATGAGTTGACTTTTGAATGAGATTATCTTTTCTCCAAAAAAATTATTTAATCAATTCTATCATTTAGATGCTTCTGAGATTCAGGCTCTGGAACTGACAATTTCCTACTGTAACTAGAGTTGTTATACTGTGAAGTAATGACTGCTGGACTGAACCCTAAGGATCAAATGAAAATCACAGAAGGGCACATAAAAATCATCTATGTGCTCTTATTTTACAAAAGAAAAAAACTCATACTATAAATGTTAGACAATTTGTTGCCTACAGCTTTAGTGACAACAATTTTTTTTAAAGATTATTTATGCACACAAGAACTGGGGTACTGGCCAGAGGTGGGGGGGTGGTGAGAGGATTCACCAGAGACAGAGTGGGGAACAGAACAGGCAGACTGACTAAAACACACTGCTGAGGGGAACAGCAGCCGAGACAGGAGAGGTCTGCTGCGCCATGTGGGTAGCTTCCTGGCTGGGGAGCGAACTCCTGCTGTAGAGGCTGCAAATAGCTTCACAGTGCTGTGCTTAATCCTTGCACCACCAGGGAGGCCACGTGACAACAATTTTTTTTTTTTAAGATTTATTTATTTATACAAGCACTGGGTACAGTCAGAAGCACAGGAGGGTGAGAGAACTCACCAGAGCCAGAGCGGGGAGCAGAGCAGGCAGGTGGGACCCTCCTCCGGTGGCCCGGGAGCAGCCGGGGATCAAACCGGCGCTGCAGAGGCTGCGGGCAGCTTCGCAACCCAGCGCCCAACGCTGTGCCACCAGGGAGGCCCGTGACAACAATTTTTAAAGGCCAAGTCTACCAATGCCATGTTGGCCAGCTGACCTCTCTCAGATAATATTAACTGGGCTTTATTACAATGTACCAGGTGTTGCACTGGAACAGGGTTTTATATATGTGATGTCATTTAATCTTACCACAATCCTACCAGGGAGGCATTATCAACCCATTTTGTAAATGACGAAAATGGGATTCAAACCCAAATCTGTCTGATGTCAAAATCCTTTGTTTCAAACACTACACTATGCCTCTCCAGTTTCCATTCATTCATCAAATACTCGCTCACCAAGTATAACGTGTCAGGTACTGTCCCAGGAATACTAGTGATGAAGATGGACAAGGTCCCTGCCCTTATGCAGTTTATGGTAACAAAAGAACTTCAAGTATGACTGATAAGCGTGTGTGGGTAGGGGGGGTGCAGAACAGTACTTTTTAAAAAATGGAACAGAACAAGTTTTGACAATATTCACTACCAACCATATATGAAAACAACAAAAATGTGAAAAATAAGCATTGGTAAGCCCGTGGAGAAATGGGAACCCTCATGCACTGTCAGTAGGAAAGCAAAATGAAAATAAATTTAATCTAATCTTAGTGAAAATGACTAAACCAGATTCTGAACCCATCAAAGTTCGGTATTTGAAACAGTATATTTTGAAAGGCAGATAAGCTTGTGTCCTCTCCTTTAGTATGCTGCTGATTCTAGCTAGGACATGAGCTGAAACAGCTCTCATCAGAGAAAGCTGTTTACGAGGATAACAGATCTTTCCAAATTAAAATAAATTGTCAAGATGATACACAGTTCCAATGCCCACTTCTTTTTTCCTCATTCCCATATTCCTGTTCAGTTTCTCCTAGTTAGTTTTTTCTCTGATGTCTCAGCACAGAGACAAACTGACTTCTGGACAGGTAAAGGCAGTTCATTAAGCTCTCTTACTGGACTTGGATTGCTGCTGTGGTAAATGCCACCTCTTGTTTCTGGGCTGTTATCAGATAGAAGGAGTATTTAATCTCCCTGACTTCCTTTTCAAGGGAATGAATGTGCCAAGAAAAGGAGGAGAAGTGATCTAGGTTCACCGTTATCTGAAGTGTTGCACTTTTATCCATTATGGACTATGTACAACATGCTGTTCAGCTTCACCTGGAATGTACCATCATGCTTCATTTTATCTACGAAACCAATTTTGTAAAGATCTTATGTTGGTTGCACTGAGAGAAAACAGTATGAATTAGATGCAGCTACTACTGCCCAAAAGCCCCTGCACCTCCCATCCCATGATGAACTATGACATTAATAGAAAGAAAAGGTCTCAATGAAGTCACAGTAACTAAAACAGTATGGTACTGGAATAAAAACAGACACACTGACCAATGGAATAGAGCTGAGAGCCCAGTACAAAAGCCATTCACATGGACAGTTAATCTACAACAAAAGAATGAAGAGTAGACAGTGAGAAAAGGAAAGTCACCTCAATAAATGGTGCTGGGAAAACTGGTCAGCCACATGCAGAAAAATGAAACTAGACCACTCTCACATACACACCAAAATTAACCTGAAATGGAATAAAGACTTGCATGAAGACCAGAATCCATTAAGTACATAGAAGAAAACAGGTGAAACACTCCAAAACATTGGCTTCAGTGATGGCTTTAGGGATCTGATTTCAATAGAAGGTAAATAAAAGCAAAAATAAACAAATGGGGCCACATCAAACTAAAGAGCTTCTGCACGGTGAAAGAAACCATCCTGAAAACAAAAACACACCTGAACGAGAGAAAATAGCTGCACACCATACATCAGACAAGAAGCTGATACCCAAGATTAATAAAGAACTCATACAGCTCAATAAAAAGAGAACAAAGAATCCAATCAAAGTATCATCAGAGGAGCTAAACAGACACTTCTCCAAAGACAGCATACAAAAAGTCAACAGGCACAGGAAAAACTGTTTGACATCATTTATCATCAGGGAAATGCAAATCAAAACCAAATGAAGGGCCTCCTCGGTGGTGCAGCGGTTGAGTGCTGGGTTGTGAAGCTGCCCGCAGCCTCTGCAGCGCTGGTTTGATTCCTGGCTGCTCCCCGGCCTCCGGAGGAGTGTCCCACATGGTGCACAGACCTCTCCTGCCGCCCACTGCTCCCCTCAGCAGTGTACTTCAGTCCTTCTGCCTGCTCTGCTCCCCGTTCTGGTGAATTCTCTCACCCTCCCACGCTTCTGACAGTACCCAGTGCTTATATAAATAAATAAATAAATCTAAAAAAAAAACACACACACACACAAAAAAAAACAAATGAAATACCACCTCATTTTTGTGAAAACAGCCCAAATCAATAAAAACAGAAACTTGGGGCCTCCCTGGTGGCACAAGGGGTTAAGTCTCAGTACTATGAAGCTATCTGCAGCCACTGCAGCACGAGTTTGATCCCAGCCAGCCAGAGAGCTACCCACAGGGTGCAGCAGACCTTTCCTGCCTCGCCCTCTGCTCCCCTCAAGCAGTGTATTTCAGCAGATCTGCCTGTTCTGCTCCCCACTGTCTCTGGTGAATCCTCTCGCACGCACCCCATCCCGCACCTCTGGTCTACACCCCAGCTCTTGTATGCATCAATTTTAAAAAATTTAATTTAAAAAAAAAAAAACCAGAAACTTTACAAATGTTGGCCAGGGTATGGAGAAAAAGGAATTCTCATTCAATGCTGGTGGGAATGTAGACTGGGCCAGGCCCTGTAGAAAACAGTACAGAGGTTTCTCAAAATATGTATAGTAGATATGCCATATGATCCAGCAATTCCCACTCCTTGTCTTTTATCCAAAGAATGCAAAAACACAATTTGAAAGGATATATACATTCCTGTGTTCGTTGCTACAGCTACAATAGCCAAATTATGGAAACAACTTAAGTGCCCAAGTATAATGAGTGAATTAAGAAGAGGGAATATATATACATGAGGAAGTACTATTCAGCAAAAAAAAAAAAAAAAAATTAAAAAGATGAATTCTTGCCATTTATGACAAAGTGGATGGAATTAGAAGGGATTAAACTATGTGAAATAAATCAGAGGAAGGCAGACAAATACCAGAAGACTTCATTCATATGTGGAATATAAAGATACAAAACAAAGGAACTGGCAAAACTAAACCAAAACAAAATCTGAAAATATGACTGCAGCACTGAGGCCACTAGAAGAAGAAGGCAGGGATGGAGACAACACGAAGAGGGTCCAACGGAACACAAAGGTGAACGGGTGCTGGTGGGGGGGTGGGGTGAGGTGATGTCCATCTGAGCAGATGAAACACGTACTGTGCTGTAAACCAATGTTACCTCAAAAAATAAATAAAAAAGGTCTTGATTTTTTAAAAAAGAAATGTGAAGCATAAACAAATTATAAGAGATCACTACAAGAAGAGAATCTCACTACAGAAGAGAATCTGAAAACAATTTTAGGGTTGAATGATTCATTTGTAATTATCAAATACAAGAAGTCGTTCTGCAAAGGAGTTAAGGCCTCAGGTTTACTTTAAAAATTGGGGGGGGAGAGAATTATTTCCTCCTAGTCTGTGGCTCACCTTTTCATCTATTAGAGTGTCTTTTGAAAAACAAGTTTTTAGGGCCTCCCTGGTGGCACAAGGGGTTAAGTCACAGCACTTTGAAGCTATCCGCACCACTGCAGCATGAGTTCAATCCCCGGCCAGGGAGCTGACCCACATGGCATATCAGACCTCTCTTGTCTTGCCCACTGCTCCCCTCAGCAGTATATGTCAGTCAGTCTGCCTGTTGTGCTCCCCACTCCATCTCTGGTGAATCCTCTCATCCCCACACCTCTGGCCTACACCCCAGCTCTTGTATGCATAAATAAAAATAAATATTAAAAAAAAAAAAAAACAAGGACAGAGCAAGGAAGGAGAAGGGATGGGTCAATTTCATTCTTTCAACAAGTACTGAGTGAGCATCTACTATAGGCCATGCCAAGTGCTATGCTAGATGCTGGGGATAAAGCAGTGGAAGAAACAGACACTGTCCCTGGCTTCATGAAGCTTATTAGAATGAAAACTACATAATTATTTGACTATAAGTGTCAGAAGAAAAAATATAAAAATATAAAAATCAGCATGCACTAAATGCCTATTACACGCTAAATGCTTTACATGTGGCTTTATTTTACCTTCACAATGATCCTATGAGGAAGTACAGATCTAGAAAGATTAATTCCCTTGAAGCAATGAGCTGTACAACCAGGACTGAACACAAGTGCATTCAACTCCAAAACTCTTCAAACTATCACCAAACAGTAGGTAAATCCTCTATTTTTAAAAACAAAACAAAGAAGTAGCCAGAAAAAGTAGAGAAGGTCATGCAGGTAAAATTTTGAAGCTCCCAGATCTAGAAAGAGCTTGCTTTCTATTTTTTTATTATTATTATTATTATTTGGGCTAGCTCACCTAATTACTTTTGTTAAGTTTATTTTTATTTATTTATGCACAGAAGAACTGGGGTGTAGGCCAGAGGTGCAGGGGGTGAGAAGATTCACCAGAGACAGAGTGGGGAGCAGAACAGGCAGATCACCTGAAATACACTGCTGAGGGGAGCAGCGAGCAAGACAGGAAAGGTCTGCTGCACCATGTG